TAGATGTCCTTTGTATCAATACTGAAATGGTAGCATGTGATGGAAAACAGACATTTGTTGTTGATTTTACAATGATTACACATGAAGTACCATCATAAGAATCTTAACTAAATCAACTACTACTTAATGTTCAGCAAATCAAAATTCTGATTTCCTTGATAGCATTGGAAAATAATTCGTTAATTGCATTTTTCTTTGTTTTTTGGCAATATATGGTGCTTCACTGGGATTAAGTTGACTTTTCCCCATCTATTAACGAAGAGTCTCCTGAGTGCCCGCCACTCTCCTAGGGCCCAGGAACAAGGGAAATGTGACAGACCTGGCTTCACTGCCTGGAACATTCAGTCTGTACTTTTCCGTATTTCTAATTCCGAGTTAAAATGTTCTCTGTTTCCTGGTTCTCTTTAATTAGTCAACAGGGTTCCTTTCATCAAAGAATACATCGTTCAGTGAGTGGTGACAGTGAGCAGGACTGATCACACAAGTCAGTTGTGTGGAGGAATGGAGACAAGAAAGAAGTCTTCAAGGGTTGTATTTATTTACTGTTACTCTGAATTGAGAACTCATGAAAAAATTAACTTCTTTTCCAGATTAAAAAAATAAAACATCATGAAAGCCAGTGGCACGCCCCAGCCCTAAGCTCTTCCTCATGCCCCCACCCTGCACTTTTCCACAGCCTTGCTGAAGCCAGCAGGTACACACAGTCCACATAGGGGATGCTCCTTAATCATACTATGGTGAGGGGGGCATTCCTGGGTACCACAGGACTGTAACTATTGGAGAGATAGTTCTTGGCATGCTAGATACATGCACCCCCATGTTTATTGCAACATTATTTACAGTAGCCAAGAAAGGGAAGCAATGAAGTGTCCTACACAGATGAATGGTTACAAATGAGGTGGTATATCTACACAATAGAATATTTTTCAGTCATGAAAAAGAATGAAGTCTTACTATTTACAACAAAATGGACGGACCTAGAAAGTATAATGCTAAGTGAAACAAGTCAGACAGAGAAAGACAAATACCATATGATTTCAGTCATATATGGAAACTAAGAAACAAAACAAACAAACAAAGAAAAAAAGAGACAAACAAAAAATCACTCTTAAATGTGGAGAATAAATTGGTGGTTCCCAAAAAGGAGGTGGGGGGGGATGGGTGAAATAGAAGAAGGAGATTAAGAGTACACTTATGGTGAGCACTGAGTAATGTATAGAATTGTTGGATCACTATATTGTAACTGAAACTAATATAATTAACTATATGTTAATTATACTGAAATTAAAAATGATTAATTAATTGAAAATGGATTGAAATCAGAGAGAGAGATGAACCTTGAGAGACTATGGACCCTGAGAAACAATCTGGGGGTTTCAGAGGGCAGGGGTGGGGGGAGGGCATAACAGGGTGATGGGTACTGAGGAGGACATGTGCTGTGATGAGCACTGGGTGTTATACTTAACTAATGAATCATTGAACACTGCATCAAAAACTAATTATGTGCTATACAGTGGCTAACTGAATATAATAAAAAATAAGTAAATTTTAAAAAAATGGATAGAAAATCTGAATAGACATTTTCCCAAAGACATACAGATGGCCAACACATACATGAAAAATGCTCAACATCATTAATCATTAGGGAGATGCAAATCAGAAGCACAGTGAGATATCACCTCACATCTGTTAGAACAGCTGTTATTAAGGGGCATCTGGGTGGTACAGTCAGTTAAGCACCTGACTCTTGATTTTAGCGCAGGTCATGATCTCAGGGTTGTGAGATGGAGCCCTGCATCAGGATCTGCTGGGCCTACTTGGCATTCTCTCTCTCTTTCTCCTTCTTCCCCTCCCCACTCTCCCCCAGCACCCCACCAAATAAAGGGTATTATCAAAAAGACAAGAAATAACAAATGTTGGTGAGGATGCGGAATAAAGGGTACCCTAGGGCAATGTTGGTAGTAAGGGCTTTTACTACCCCATTGATATCAATGGATAGATTATCTAGACCAAAAAAAAAAAAAAATCAATAAAGAAACACTGGCCATAAATGATACATGAGACCAGATGGACTTAATAGATACAGAACATTCCATCCAAAAGCAGCAAAATACATACTTTTCTCAAATGCATATGGAGCACTCTCCAGGATAGATTATATGTTAGGCCAAAAAACAAGTCTTAATAAATTTAAGAAGATTGAAATCATATCAAGCATCTTTTCTGACTACAACAGTGTGAAACTAGAAATCAAAAAGGAAAACTGGAGAAGTCACATATATGTAATTAAATAACTTGATATATGTTTGTGTGTGTGTGTGTTTTCTAAGAAGGAGGTTCATAGCAATGCAGGCCTACTTCAAGCAACAAGAAAAATCCCAAATAACAATCTAAACTTACACCTGAAAACTAGAAAAAGAAAAAAGCTTAAAGTTAGTAGAAGGAAGGAAATAACAAAGATCAAAGCAGAAATAAACAAAACAGAGACAAAAAATAACAGAGAAGATCAGTGAAACTAAGAGCTTGATCTTTGATAAATAAACAACATTGAAAAATCTTTATCCTCACTAAGAAAAAGAAAGGGCTTAAATAAATAAAATCAGAAATGGAAGTGGAGAAGTTACCACTGATACTACAGAAATATAAAGGATCTCAAGAAACTATAAACAAGTATATGCCAGCATATTGGACAACCTAAAAGAAATGGGTAAATTCCTAAACAATCATCCCAGATTGACTAATGAAGTAAAAAATCTGAATAGACCAATTATAAGAAAGATGAATTAGTAATCGAAAACCTCCCAACAACAAATGGAAGTTTAGGATTAGATGGCTTCACTGGTGAATTCTACCAAACATTTAAAGATTTAATACCTATTCTTCTCAAACTTTTTAAAAATTGAAGAGGAAAGAACACTTCCAAACTCATTTGACAAGACCAGCATTACCCTGATAACCAAAACTAGACAAGGACACCACAAGAAAGGTAGGGAAGGGAGGAGGAGTGGGGGAGGGAAGGGAATAGAAAAGAAAAACTATAGGCCAGTATCTTATATAAACATAGCTGCAAATATTCGTGACATTTTTCACAGAAATAGGACAATCCTAAAATTTTAATCACAAAATTTCCCAAATAGCCAAAGTAACCTTGGGAAAAAAGAACGAAACTGGAGCTATCACACACCCTGATTTCAAGCTATATTATAAAGCTATGGAAATCAAAACAGTATGGTGTTGGCATAAAAACAGACACATGGATCAATGGAAAAAAACAGAGAGCCCAGAAATGAACCCATGTATCTATGATCAAGTAATTTACAACAAAGGAGGCAAGAATAAACAATGGGGGAAGGATGGCCTCTTTAACAAATGGTGTTGGGAAACCTTACAGACATATGCTAAAGAACGAAACTGGACCACTGTCTTATAGCCTACACAAAAATGCACTCAAAAATGGATTAAAGACTTGAATGTAAGACCTGAAGCCATAACATTTATAGAAGAAAACATAGATGGCAAGCTCCTGGACATCAGTCTTAGTGATGAATTTTTGGATCAAACTCCAAAAGCAAAGACAACAGGAGCAAAGATAAACAAGTGGGACTACTTCAGACTAAAAAGCTTCTGCACAGTGAAGGAAACTATCAACAAAACAAAAAGGCAACCTACTGAATGGGAGAAGATATTTGCAAATGATACATCCCATAAGGGGTATGAAGAACTCATACAACTCTATATCCCATAAGGAGTATGAAGAACTCATACATCCCATAAGGGGTATGAAGAACTCATACAACAACAAAACACAATCTGATTTTAAAAAATGAGCAGAGGATCTGAATAGATATTTTTCCAACGAAGGCATTCAGATGGCCAAAATCACATGAAAAGATAGTCAACATATAAATCATCAAGGAAATGCAAATCGAAAGCACAGTGAGCTACCACCACCTGGTTACAATGGCCAGTACCGAAAAGACAAGAAATAACAACTATTGGCAAAGATGTGGAGAAAAGGAAACCCTCCCGAACTTCCGGTGGGAATGTAAATTGTTGCAGCCGCTATGGAAAATAATATGGAAACTCCTCAAAAAATTAAAGACAGAGCTACCATTAGATCTAGTAATTCCACTTCTGGATCTTTATCTGAAGGGAAGGAAAACACTAAACTGAAAAGATATATTCACCCCTGGGTTCACTGCAGCATTATTTACAAAAGCCAAGGTAGGTAAACAACCTAAGGGGCTATGGAAAGATGAAAGGATAAAGACAACGTGATACAAAAGAATACTACTCAGCCAAATAAATAAATAAATGAATGAATGAATGAATGAATGAATAAATAAATAAATAAATAAATAAATAAATAAATAAATAAGATCTTGCCATTTGTAACACGATAGGTGGACCTGGAGGATATTATAAGTGAAATAAGTGAGACTAGAGAAAGACAAATACTGTATGAACTCACATGTGGAATCTGAAAAACAAAACAAAGGAACAAAGGTGAATTCAAGCCCTGTTTATCAGAGATTTTGGCCTATAGTTTTTCTTTTCCCTTCCCTTCTGTAATTTTTTCTGTGCGACATTGAATAGAGTTCTAGTCGGATAGGATTTTGGGGTTTATTTGTTTGTTCAATTAATAGCACTTCGTTTTTAAATAATTTGCAGTTATTAAGAAAAATACTCAATTTGGTATGCCCCCACGCCCCCATGAGTTGTGCAATTGATAAGGCTCCCGTCTTCTGCTCTGAGCATGGGAACCTCTCACGCTGCAAGCCTACTGGGGAGTTTTCTTTTGCTTTTCTCGGGCGGACACACTTTGTAGCCTTTCCAGGTAAATTTCACGATTAATGTCCTAAAGGGCCCGAGAAAACTCGGCGAGGGGATTGGGAAGCAAATCTTGAAGAGCAAGGAGGGTGTTCTCGCTGTTCTTTGTTCCTCCTGACTTCTAAAGGAAAAGGGCTGCTTCTGACCGGGTCTCCTGCCTTCTCTTCCAGCGCTCTGCGGGGGCGGCGAGAGCTTTCTGTGCGCCAGCGGCCTCTGCGTGCCCGGGAAGCTGCGGTGCAACGGGCACAACGACTGCGACGACTGGAGCGACGAGGCCTACTGCAGTAGGCGCGGGGCGTGGGGGCCGGTGGGGGCGGGGCGGAGGGGGTCGAAAGGCGACCCGGGCAGGGGCCTGGAAACCGAAAACAGACCCTGACAACCGGCCGGCGGGGGCGTAGACTTCTGGTAGTTTGCCTTCCCGATGCCAGCAAAACGTGGGGCAGTCGGTGTGTTTGCGCCCCTTTCAAAGGCGCGATTCCCGTTAAGAACTTGAGAGCCCAAGGTCGCAGTGGGAACGTGTTTTGCATCAAGTGGCTTAAAGTTGGAGGAAGGCTTTTTGTTTATTTTGTTTGGGTGAGGCTTTTATTTTTGTTTTGAAAGCTTAATGAGTCTAAAGGGGTGTGTGTGTGTGTGTGTGTTTTAAAGACCCGGTCAGTAGGCGGGTGCTTCACCCTCCTGATCCTTGACATTCCTGACACAGCAGATGCAAAGCCCCTTGTTTGCTTACGCTTTCTCTAAACCTGGTGATATATCGTCCATGGTGCTAACTACTTTAAATCCGTGGATTGAGAGATTCAGCCATTAAACATCGTCAAATTCTTTACTATGGATGTGGTCAGTTGTTTTGATTGAATTGGTCGGTGGTTTGTAAAATGCTGTCCTAAGCCTTGGGCTGCGGTGTAAAATACCCCAGACTGCATGATTTAAACAGGAGAAATTTATTCTCCTAAGGTTCTGGAGGCCCAGAGTCTAAGGTCAAGGTCAAGGTCAAGGAGGCTCAGTTTCCGCTGAGAGTTCTTTTCTGGGCTGCTAGGCAGCTTCCATCTTCCTCAGTGCTCACTTGACCTCTTTGGAGGCATGGAGGGAGGGAAGGAGGGAGGGAGAGAGGGGGAGGGAGAGGGTCTCCCCCTCTTCTTATAAGGGTACTATTAGATGACAGCCTCACCGTTATGGCCGCATGTAACTTTGTCGCCTCCTTACAGGTCCTTTCTCCAAATATTTGAGGGTTATTTGAGGGTTAAGACTTTAACATACACATTTTGGAAGGACATCAACATTCTGTCATATATAATGTGTGTGTGTGTGTGTGTGTGTGTGTGTGTGTGTGTGTGTGTGTGTGTATAACAGACAGAATGGTGTGTGTGTATATGCATACACACACATACATAGTGCCCTATATATATGTGCATGTGTGTATATATAAATATATATATTTCTTTTTTCTTTTCTTTTTTTTTAGCTTTCAAGTTGTTTCGTACTTGTACAACGGATAAGGAAAAATTAGCCTCAGTAATACATTGCAGGATTTGCCTCCAAAGCAGAGCCACATGCAATTAAATTGTAATTGCTTTTTAATGGTTATATGATCAGCAAAACCATCAATGGTAATATGATCCCATCTTACCATGGGTAAAGCTGTGTTTTACTCCCCATAGGAGCTACCAAGGCTGTATGAGAGCTCTTAATTGTCGACCTTAATTGAAAGGTTCTTATGGTCTGTTTGCCAGGTAGAACACTTCTTCCATGTGAAGGGTTAGGATACTTATTTATCATAAGTTTTGAAAGGCATTATATTATTGTAATATTTCAGATCGGCGTTTCCCAAACTGGTGTTCCATAGTACCCGAGCCCTGAAAATTGCTTGAGAAATAAGCAAGTTTGAGAAATGCTATCAGATCTACTTTTTAGAGAGTTGCAATACACATTCACACATTGTAAGTTTTGAGAAATGCTGCACTTTTATAAAAGACTTACTCACTTTACTTAACTTGGTATTTCGTCAAAATTATTTGTTCATATATGTCCCCACCTCTATTTATTTATTATTTTTATAATTTGGAATTCTCTCTTCAGAAAAACCTGTAGCACATGATTGTACATGAAAAAGATTTTCATAGGATGTAGCCTTACATTAGGCAGTATTGCTGTGGAGTTAGGAAGGAATAATTTATAGAGCACCCACAGTAGGTTCAATAGAATTATATCCAATTTATGGGAAATGTGGTAGAATCTTTTCCTTATCTCCCAATATGGCCCATGGGAAATTATTAAAATTCTGCACGTGCCTCCACCCCAGTGGTGGGCGACCACTGGCTCACCATTACGTTCCTTCATTGCACCCAGCGCATGGAGCGTTGCACTTTAAACAGTTAAGAGATGGCTGCCGCATCGGTTGAATTGAATTGGAATGAGTAAATTTTCCTAGTCAGTGACTGAACAAACGAGGTATTACTATTCTGCAAGGTATATAGCATGTCCTAAGGGTTGAAGAGTTTATTAAGGAAGATAGAGGCTTTCCTCAGGAGCATACTTTAACACCCAGGTGGTTTGGTCAGCTGAGGAAATAAAATACATCCCCTCAGAAAATTTGCCTAGGCTCTGGTACACCTTGAAAGCTTCACAGGTAGTTGCTTCAGAACTTTCGAGGGCATTAGACTCAGAGTTTCAACATTCAGTGCCCGTGGCTCTTTAGTCATTTATGGAGAGTGCCACCCTCCCACTGTCACCGCCCTGTGGTGAAGGAGTAGTGGAGTTCTGAAATAGGGCATGGAGGTAAATCAGAGCGTGACTGCAGCCGCCATACTCCTGAGGGGAGAAGGAAGTTTTGCTGGGCTTTCCTAATGAGGAGCAGAAGAATATGGCGGCTCCCAGGGTGCTGGCAGGGATAGGTGGAGGACGACTGCCTTCAAAGAAAGGAAGGGAAGGAATTATTTGTCAACTATGCTAGAAGCATCAATTTACATGATTTGATTTAATTTTTAGCCAAGGAGGTATTACCCTTTTTGTGCAGATGCAGAGCTGAGGTTAAGAGTCATGAATGAATTTGCCAGGGATTCAGACTGCATGATTTGAACCTGGTCCTCTATTATTTGTTTGTTTTTATTGAAGTGTAATCGACACATACAGTGTTATATTAGTTTTAGGTGTGTAGCACAGTGATTCGACAGCTCTGTATGTTACTCAGTGCTCACAAGTATAGTCACCGTCTGTCACCATACAGTATTGTCGACAATATTCTCTGTGCTGTACTCTTCTTCCCCATAACTTATTTACTTTATAGCTGGTGGTTGTACCTCTTACTCCCCTTCACCTATTTTACCCATCCCCTGACCGCTTCCCCTTTGGCAATCACCAGTTTTTTCTTTGTATTTCTGAGTCTGTTTCTGTTTGTTTGGTTGGATTTCTAGATTCCACATATAAATGAAATCATATAGTATTTGTCCTTCTTTGTCTGACTTATTTCACTTAGCATAATACCCTCCAGGTCCACCCATGTTGTCTGCAAATGTCAAGATCTCATTCTTGTCCATAAAAGTTCAGATTTGGTGAACAATTATCTTCTGATCATTTATAGGAGAGGAAAACATTTATTTTTGGATGCTCTATGACACTTTGGGAGATAATTGTCTATTATACCGTTAAGCCAAGTATCTGGGACTCCTTACTGCCTTTTCTCCTTTAACTAATTATGTTGTTTCTCAGTGTTTATAGAATGAATGCATTTCCAACCACCTGGAACAATGTTAGCAGTGTGGTGAAAAGATTTTCAAAAATTAAGAAAAGTTTTCTTTGAGAAATTTCTAACTCTGTGACTTGAGGCAGGCTACCTCTCTATTCCTGGTTTTCTTTGTCATTGAGGCCACGTGGCACATAGCATCTGCAGGAAGCCCCACCTGCAGGAATCCTAATGCAGTTGGTCTGGAGCTGGAGCCCAGCAACAGCTTTGCAAAACCACCCAGGTAATTCTAACATGCAGCCAGATTGGAAGCCACTGGACTAGAGGGGGTCTGGTGTGTCTTTTGTTTCTCACCTATAATCTTTTGATTCTATAACCAGCTCTAGAGTGGTGTCTGGTCCACAGCTAGTGCTTAGCAAATGGATAATGGCTGTCACAAAGAAAAAGCTTCAAGGGAAATGGTTGTCACAGAGAAAACAGGCGCCACAAAGTCCATATGTTTTATGCCACGTAAAATCACTGTCAAATACTTTTGGAAATCTTTTGCTTGGATTTGGGTAAAATTGGTTGACTTATGTTTTAGTATAATTATACAACATATTTTACTAATGATACCTTATACTAATTATGATGTGTTAACTATTTATGCTAAGTATAGTTAATTATACGAATAACCAGAAAGTGTAGGGATTACTCCTGTAAACTCTTGAGTCAGGCTGCCGGTATTCCTATCTCTTCTTTACCATTTCCTGCTTCTGTGAACCTGGGCAAGTCACTCCATCTCTCTGGGCCTCTGTGTCCTCCTCAGTGAAATGGAGACGGTAACAGTAACTGTCTCTAGAACTCCTGTGCAGAATAACGAACCCTTGCCTATCCTGGATATAGACCACTGTCTGACATGCGATAACTCTGAAAGAGTGTGAGGACTGATGGTTGCCGTTGTGATTATTGGGATCTTATTCTCCATATCGTCCCTCCCTTCCACCCCCCCCCCCCGACCTCACCTCCATCTACCTGCCCAGTGCCTCTCACCTCCAGGCTATAAAGGATGCCCGCTGAAAGTCATGGAGACAGCTGATAAAGGTCAGGGGATACGCTGCGGAGGAAACAGAAACACTAAAATAGCCACAACAGCTTTATTTATTTATTTAATAGATTTTTATATCTATTTTGGGGGGGAAGGAGCAGAAGGAGAGGGAGAGAGGGAGAAGCAGACTCCCCGCTAAATGTGGAGCCAGACACAGGGCTCGATGTCATGGCCTGAGATCATGACCTGAGCTGAAACCAACAGTCGGATGCATAACCAACTGAATCATCCAGGCGCCCCAAATCTGCAACAGTTTTAAAGATTTTTTTTTTTTTTTTGATGGACAGAGAGATCACAAGTAGGCAGAGAGGCAGGCAGAGAGAGAAGAAGGGAAGCAGGCTCCCCGCTGAGCAGATAGCCCGATGTGGGGCTCGATCCCAGGACTCTGGGATCATGACCTGAGCTGAAGGCAGAGGCTTTAACCCACTGAGCCACCCAGGCGCCCCCAGTTTTAAAACCAGTACCGCATGAAGCTATTTTAGAAGGGAGGCAACCCAAATAGCACAAAATAAAAACTGGCA